CCCCTCCGCCCTCGAGCCGGGCCCGCCCGCCAGGAAGGAGCCCCGCGTCAAAACCCCCCCGGGTAGGGGCCGCCCGGGCGCGGGGAGGGGTCTGGACCCCGCGGCTCTCCGCCATTGCAAACACACGCACCGAGTGTACCCAAGTAGCTGCTTGTCAGCTGCTGTATAACTGAGATTTGCTTGGTGACCGTAGCTTTGTCACACCCCTGCGTTGAAACTGTGTGCCCGTGTTTGCAACCGGAGCAGGAAACTGCTGGAGCTCCTGCTGCTGCACCCACCTGCTTGCGTCTCATCCATCGCCCCTTGTCTCGCACAAAGGGCATGGGAAGGTGAATCCCAGCCTTTTGAAGGTCTTTTCCAACCGTAATGATTCTCCGGTTCTGTGGTTCTCTCTGGTTCTTCTCAGGAGCTGGTTCTCCAGGGGCTGCTGAATTCAATTCTTCCACGAGAAAGCAGTCCAGCTCAAAATGCCTCAGAGCCAGGTTGGAAGAAGAAGATTGGGTCTTCCTTGGGGCACTGAGGAAGAGGTCCTTTCGCTTCTCTTTCAGACAAGAAGAAGGTAAAAACATTTGAAGTGACCTCTCCAGTAATTGCAGAAGAGCCCGAGCCTGTCCCGTGTGTGCTGCAAGGAGATGAAATCCAAGCGCTTGCCATCAAGGTGGAGGATCTGGAGAAAGTAGGTGTCTTTATGGGGCAGAAACAGCTACATCTGCTGCAGCTTGGATTTTAGTGTGTGTTTAACAGAGAATCTTGAGCATTTATTAGAATCAAAACAGTCCCTTGGAGTTCATTCCATTTTGTCTCTCCTGCTCTTTAAGACTTTTCAAACCATCAGTTCCTAAATACAAAGGAGTACTAAACGATCCTTTAAAAGGGAAGAACCAGTCACATGTCCCTTCAAAAGTACATAACCAATGTTTTTAGCCCACCAGAGGCATATGTTGTTTAGTAGCTATCACCCATGTGGGTATAAGCATTTGACAGCAAGAGATGCAGTAGAAAATCCTTGAGAAAACCATTTAAAACTCTTTCCCTTGCCCCAATTTTATGGCAGCCAAAAGGATTAAGAGTAATTGAACTGGTGTCTATACCATCCTTTAACACATCTATTTCAGATGGGGTTGCCCAGGTCACGTAGTTTCTGTGCTAATCCCCAGAGGATCTGAAGGAGTGGAGTGGGTCAGTGTCTGCCTAATTACATGGTGATTGTTTGTTTTCTGCAGCTCCATCCTCCACGTCTTCCCTCTGATGAGGAGAGAATTCCAGTTAGCAGGAAATTCCTTGTTCGAAAACAACAACCCAAAGACACACAGAAGAAGAGACAACTCCTAGTAGCCTATCCTGCTATTCCAGAGGCATCTGAGAAACCACTGAGTTTTTTTGGTAGGATTATGCTTCGTGTATCACCTTCGCCTTTCGGTTTTGCCAAACCTACCTTTACTGACCAGACTCTGGCTTTTTATTTTGTAGGATCAGGACAGTTTGGTGATGGCTGTGAAGAGCTTCTCCCTCATCACATTTTAGGAAGTCTCCAGGAGTTCAAGAGGGAAGCGTTAGCCAGAGGAAACACTCAGGTTGGTTTGTGAAGCGATGTAAATGCTGCCATGCAACACTTGACTGGAGGTGAAGTGTGTACAGCACGTTTGGATTTAACTCAGCCCCTGTCAGGAACAGGTCAGGCCTGAGCGGTAGTTTTCCCAGCCTCAATGATGCCACGTGGGGGGGTTGCTCCAGAGAAACTGCACCAGCAGGTTTAGGAGCCCTGTCATGGAAGAAAGAGTGACAGAAGCTTCCTCTTCCATTTGTGCTGCTGCTGCCAGCGTCAGACTGGCGTGGGAAGAGCTGCTGATGCAACAGCACCATTGCCTGAGTCCACTTACTCAGACAGACCTCCGGTGTGTTTGCTCACACTGTAGTTTCTGTTCCCCTCAGAGTGATTAGGTAAAGGCACTATTAATTTGAACAATTCTTTTCTCCTCCCCTCTCCCATTTTTGTCACTGTGGCAGTGTGTTCATGGGGAGGTTAATCTAATGTTTTCCTCTTCTTCAGATAGCAGAACTTATTGAGGATTCTCCTCAAGATGTTTTTGCAGTGGCTTTGAAGGAGAAATGGGGAGGAGAGAAGAAAAAGGTTCATCAGGCCCCACCATCTCAGCACAAAGCTCTCCAGAACTGGGATCGCCATATGGGAATCAGGAAAAAGCAAGGGAAATACCTGGGAAGTGAGTAAAGCTGACACCTCATTGTGTGAAATTCCGCGTGGAAATGGGGGAACCGGATGGTATCACACATTGTAACGGCCGTAGCAGATCGGGGTTGATGTTGTACACAGGAATTTCCATCTCCATGTGAGGAAGAATTTGACTGTGAAGGTGACAGCCCTGGCACAGGCTGCCCAGGGAGGCTGTGGAGGCTCCTTCTCTTTCAAACCTTTCAAACCTGCCTGGATGCGACCGGGTGCCCCGTGCTCTGGGTGTCCCTGCTGGAGCAGGGGGCTGGACTGGATGATCTCTAGAGGTCCCTTCCAACCTCAACCATTCTGGGATTCTGTTGCAATCTACCCTCGTGCTCCCTGAACTCCCCGTGCTGCCCATGCCTTGGAGAGGTCAAGGAGCCTGCAGGGCTGAGAGCCGGTGGCTCTGGCTGCGCGTTGGAGGGTTCCTCTGGTGAGGGCACTTCCAGGGGAAGTTACAAGCAAGCTGTTGTAATGGCAAGGGCAGTGACGACGGTTTGGCCTTCCTTATTTTTAGAAGTGCTGCAGAAGCCAGAGGATGAGCTGTTGATGAACAGCTCGGACGATTACCGGCAAATCCAGGAAGAGCGTGACCTCATTGACCGCAGCCTTCCTGCCCTGTTCCCTGGGAAGGTGAGAGCCTCGCTTCCTCTGGATCCTGCTTACGCTGCACTTGGGAAAGGGCTGAGCTACTCCTGCTGGGAATAATAGCTCTAAAGAGCTGTCATTGGATATTTAAGAAAGTCCCTCTACGTTTTTCAGCGTAGAATTTAAATACAACTTTCAAGAATTTAAAAAATAAAAACATCACCCATGCTATTCCTACTGGTTAGAGGAAAGCAGTGCTGTGTTTTGACCCTTACTAATGAGCTGCAGTTCGTGGGCAAGTGCCACATCTTGATTCTTGCCATGGGCTGGCACACGCTGAGGAGCTGCCTTCAGGATGTGCTGGAATTACTGTCCCGGGGCAAGAAAGATCTCCTGGCTTCAGGCTTGTATTTTAGGGATGCTCATTGAGAAAGGGGTGTAGGTAGGTCAGGAGGATAATGGGCATGTCCTATAGTTAAATTTGTATATCTACAGCACTTTCAAAGGATATGCATCTAGGTGCTGCATTATTTTATATCATTAGGCCTTCCTCTAGCCATTATTGCCCTTGCATGAGGTAGAAGGAGGTCTTTTTGTCTTTGATAGCAGCTTACCAGAAATTTTGGCTTATTCTGCAGAGAGCAATTAATTTATGGACTTTTAAAATATCCCTATGAACAGGGTGAGACCTTTTCTCCTTTTCAGCATCTAATCTTTGGGAAAGTAACAGGCAGGCTGGACGTATCTGACAGCATCAGGAGGAGGCTTTTTTTCCACACTAGGGCTACCGCAGAGGGAGCGAGTTCTGGAGCCAACCAGATCGGATCGGAGATGAACTCACCGGCCTGATGATGACACTGACCCAGAGGGAACGCGGCTACCCCGAGCCAGTCACTCACGTGGGGAAACCTCAGACCATCCGCGGGGAAACGGGTAAGGGAGTGTCCGAGTGGTGATACTGCAGGAATGGGCTATGAGTGTGCAGCAACGAATGACACGGTGGCTTGTGTCAGCAGAGAAGCTCACGTTACCATTTCCCTTCTGGTAGCTGCAGCACAAGGTACTTCCCAGTCATCCTCCCAGTCACTACGGAGATTTATTACGTGGAGGACTTTATTGCTGCAACTTCTGTAGCTTGCCCGGGGTATTGCTGTGAAACAGCTCATACTAGTGGCCATGAATCTTTAAAGCACTGGGAGATCAAAGCTTGGCAGAGGGTGGAATAGGAAGGTGTTTGGGTGTGCAGACAGTGAACTCTTGTATGGGTGTTTCCACAGGTTTGAAGTCTCCAAAGAAGGCCGCTTTCCGCCTGACTTGGGATAAGAGTCTTTTCCTAAAACATCGACGACAGGAACTAAAATCCATCCTAGAAGAGCTGGATTTTTATGAACCAGTAAGGCAGGAGGAACAAACATGTTGTTTGTATTGCTCTTATCTTCTCGCAGGCTATAGAATAGCATATCATTGACTAGGGATTGGATTAGAAAAAGGTTTAAAAATCTAGGATTTAGCCATGTGGAACTTATCCTGGAAGTTCTTGCATTCCAGAAGGGAGTCACAGACATTAACGGGATATCTAGCCTCCTAAAACGATGCGTGGAATGGACTAGGTGCCTCAGAATGTGACCCCAGACCGCAGCTGCCAAAACCTAGGCATTAGATAAATACAATAATAATAATAAAACACTGGATTTTGATTTAGCATTTGAAGCATAAAATACCTTTACTCAACATCTAAAATCTTCTCAAGAAAGGAAGCCCCTTTTCTTAAAAAGCAACAACAAAACCTCTAGTCTTTTCTTTCTGAAACCTTGTGGTGGGGTGAGAAAGACATGGAGAGGGAGCTTTTCCAAGTTTGCAGAATTTGTAGTGGCAATGCAGTCACCCATGATTCTTAGAAGACCAAGAGCCTGTTCCTTCCTCTGTCTCTTAAATATTCATTGACTACAGCTACAAACAGTCATAGGAACAAGATACCTAAACTTTACTTTATTTGTTCTTGATTGAAACTTCCCTTCTGTATAGAAAGGAAAACTACAAATTAGTCACCTTTTTTTTTTTTTTTTTTTATGTTCAGGATTTGGATGGACTGGAGGTGATTGGTAAAGGCCAGCCTTTCACCTCGGTCTCAACGCAGCCTCTTCCACATCCCACCACCTCTGAAGAGTCAGAGAAGCTGTAAGTTGTATTTTACAATAGAAATAAGGGATTTGGGATATACACCATCAGTCTGTAAGGGTGTCCTTAGCTTTCCTTATCTGGAATGGAGAAGAGTCTCAACTGGCAACTGATAAAAGGCATGTTTTGACTTTAAAATCACCAGATTTAGGGAGAAAACTGTTCCTTTTGTACCTTGGGGCCTAGCGATTAGAAAAAAAATCAAGAAAAAAAGTGGGTTTTTTTTTTCTGTTTGTTTTTAATTTTAAACGCTCTTCTTCCAGTCCAGAATACCACCACCTGGTTTTCTTCTCTGTTCATGCCCTCTGAACCCCAGCATGGCACAACCCCAAGGTCATTTCTGCTTCCTCAGTCACGTGCCCTCTGCTCTTGTTCTCCTCTGCATTGTTCTGGCTGTCCTGCCCTTCTTAAGGTGACAAGAGTGTAACTGGAGTTTGTTTACCTACCGCAACCCGATCTGCAGGGCTGTGTTCTTAAAGGGAGGACTGTGCAAAATCACTACTCAGGTGGTTATTTCTTGTTTGGTGGCAGCCCTTGGATTCTTCCCTATTTTAAAATGAATTCTGCTCCACAAAACACTGGCTGTTCTTTTGTTTAGCAATGACCCCTTCACAGAGTATCCCAGTGCGGTTCCAGAATCAATCCTGGGTCCATCCTTAGATTTCTGTGGCCAGCCTGCTCGTTGGATCAATGGTACCACTTCTTGCAAGGTAAAGGTGCACTTTTTAATGTCTAATCGAGTTAAGCCTGCTTCAGTTCCCAAGTCACAGCTGTGCAATGAGTATCACTCCTAGAGCAGAGAATGAGCAGTTCATTCTGAACATCATGGACTGTCCCCGTGTTTGCTCTGGAGGGATCTCGAAGCACAAGCAGTTCCTGTGCCTGTGGTGAGAAGCTCAGATCTGTGGGCTCAGTATAATGACCGCTTGCCTGGACCTGCCTTACAGGTTCTCCTACCCAAGTTTCAACCCTACATTGGTGGCATTACTTCAGGCAAGATAAGTCATGCCAGATAGAGTAGAAATTGTTATCTCTGTCCTCTCCTCTTCCTTGTAGGATGAGGTTGGCATTGCTGCCCGGCTCACCTTTGAGATTGTGGCTGGTGAAAGAGCTGAGAGCTCCCTGACAGTGAGCAACGACGGCACAGCTGCCATCTGGTATAGCTGGAGGAGGCTTCCTCAGCAGATTCCCATCCGAGAAACAAAGAAGGGAACACAGTATTTTTACTTTAATACCCGACCAGGTAGGAGAACTGCTGATCTCTGAGACCTTTGTACACATACCAAAGCGCACACACGCAGAAGTTGCTGACTCTGCCTGCTGGCAGAGCAAACCTGCTGGTGTTTCTCCTCAGAAAGCTGTACTGGGCCTCCGAGCTGACTAGCCCCTGGAAGGTGCTTGTGACCCATCCATTTCATGGGGTTTAAAGGAATGGATTTTGATTTTCCTCTCCATGTAAATGGGTGGAATGTCCAACAGGGAATCCTTTTCTCATTGCAAACTGTGTAATCTGCTGCTGAGAGTGCTGAGCTCTCTGTAAAAGGAGCGTGCAGTGATTAAAGAAAACAGTTCAGTACCATGGCAAATAGGAGTAAGTCGGGGAGGAGAAAAAAATGGATTAAGTGTGATAAAGAGCAAAGCTGTGGGGAAACATCAGGGTGTTTGGAAAGCGATTGGGTGAACCGGGTAGTTTCTTACAGACTTGCATCTTCTCTTTGTTTTTGCAGATGTAATTTTGCCTGGAGAAACCAGGAAGTTTTTGGTTTTATTCAAGTCAGAGAAAGCAGGAATTTTCAGTGAGTCCTGGGAATTTAGGACACATCCTCTGTTATTAGGAGGAGCTCTGCTGCAGGTGTCCTTTTGGGGAATTGCTGTGTATGAGGATAAATTGGCTGACCTCAGAGAGAAACTGGAGGTAACCAAGCAAGTAACTGGGTAACTGCGGGCTTTGAACTTACTGTGCAAATAGAGGGTAGGGAAGGGAGTGGATGACGTGGTGTTTTTATTACCATGCAATTAGGGCCAAGAGTGAGATGATTTATTTATTTACTGAACATCTGCGCATACTTAATGAGGTATACTAGATAAAATGGAAGAACAGCTCCAAAGTCTACTGAAGTACTGTTAATAAAGATGGGATTGTATCTCCTAAGTTACTTACATTAGTCCTTTTAAAATATGAGTTTTCCTTTGTTAATTAATTTCTTCAGTTACTAGTGGGATGAGACTGTGCCATATAATACAGTAACTATTAAGGTACAAATGGAAAATTACACCATACTTTGAAAAGTACAGTTTGTTTAGGGGATTTTTACAGTATTTCATAGGAAAGCTAATATAAATATTGCTTTGTTTAGTGGGGTTTGCAGTTATTCTTGTTGTAGCTATGTGTAATGTATATATTCTTAGTAGAGTGGGTGTTATGTCCATGCATTTGTATGTGGAACGGGGACTCAGACGTTTTGTGCTTGTTGTGGTGACGTGGTGCCTCAGACTGACCTGGCTGCTCGAGAAGGTGCCACTATAGTAGAAGAGACCCTGAAGGAACTCCTTGACCGGATTCGGACCCCAGAGCGCCCTCCGTCTCCCGTGGATGCCTATGTCACAGAGGAAGACTTATTCCACGAGAGGAATCCAGAGGTGAAGTTTTGTGTCTGATAGGTTGCACAGCTGAAACAGCAGGGAGGGAAGACTTGCAGAGCTGATGTATCTGTGGGTTTCTGGATGCTGGTGTAGTCAATCGTGGTGGCTTTAGGAATTAAGCTTATTGAGAAAAGTCATAACTCATTTGTCTATTTTCCTTTTTCCTTCGTGTTACCAAAGTTGCATTATCAGCATCAAGTGGTGAAACAACTCCATAAACTGTGGAGGCAGCACATGGCTGTTCCTTCAGCCTTTGAGGAGGAAATGCCCTCAGGCAAGAAGAGCTCCGTGGAGGACATGACATATGAGAAGAGTATCTCAGAGGCTCTCCCTGCCCAGAAGAGCTCCACAGAAGAGGTTCTAGGTCAGGACACTCTTGAGGCAACTCCAAGTGAGATGATGAAGGAAGAAGAACCAAACCAGTCAGGATGGAACCTTTCCTTCAAGGACTTTAAGGAGGTAGTTACGCTTCATCCCTCTAGCTCTATGGTTAAGTTAATGGTGTTTTTGTTTTCCTTGCAAATAGCCTGGCACACTCCAGTGTGAGCCCACCCAAAAGTCTCCTTCCAGCATGCTTTGTGTTAGACGTGATTTATTATGTGTGTCACAAAGTGTTTGGTCTCTGCTGACCACACCCTCGGTGCTCTTGTAAAGAGATTCCCAGGAGAGGCTTCGAGGGCTGTTGTGTGAAGAAGAAAAGAGAACCAGACAATGCGATAGATATTTTAAGCTCCTTGACATCAGCTTTCTCTCATCCTAGAACTGCATGTGGGGAAGAAGGAGCAGACTAATCCTACAGTCTCCTGTGACTTCTCCAAAGGCTTTTCTTGAAGAGTCCTTCCTATTCATCAGAGTACTAAGGGAGCACTCATGACAGGCTGTGGATAAAATACAGACCTCCCTAGATTAAAGCAAGGGTAGTTTGGACTCTGTCAGCACAGTTTTTCTGCAGTACTCTCTTGTAAACTTCTCTTTTTAAGTAATTCTTTTGAAAAAAAGAAGATGTCAGTAATTCTTTCTTGGAGCCCTTTTAATTCATTAGAATCCCTTTTCTCCAGCACAAGGACTGCCTGTACCTCGGAAGCTACAAAAGGGTGTATTATGGTAAAGGCATCTCTGGGGGGTCTGGGGTTGCCTCCCAGATCTTGAGTCACGTATAAACATGGGCCAGTCCCCTGGGTGTGTAAGGGTGCTGCAGGCCCAGGTGTCTGGGCAGACAATTGTGGTCTGCTCCGCTGGGTTGGGGCTCTGCATGGCTGGGAACGACAACCGAGACGTGTTCCATGGACCCTGTTTTCTCTTACATCAGGCTATACAGTCCATCCCTGAGGAGGAGCAGCGAGAAGCAGCACTGATCCAGCTCAATAAGGCAGCCCTAGAGCTTTGTGTTGAACAGAAGCAAACTCAGTCCGATCTTCTGTATCAAACCTGGTGCGTTACCTTTGCAAGATAAACCTTATATATGTCTTCTTGTACATGTCTTCTGTGCTCAGTACCCTTAGCAAGCTCCACTGCAAGCTTTGTGAGTCAGAGAGCAGATAATTATATGTGGTCTAGAAGTCTTCTCTACACTGTGTTTTTATACATTAATCCTAGCAGCTGTCTAGGTCCCAGATACCACTTTATTCTAGAGATAAATCTCAGATATTAAATCCCTGTAATTTTGGGAAGTATGCAGGATTATTTGTGGCAAGAATACTCTAAACTGTATTTATAAAACCACTGGGTATGTTTCTCTACCATTATACTCAGATTACAGTATTCTCATACAGTCTTTTTTTTCCTTCAAGCTTTAACACTGTAACCATAACAGTCTCTAGTCCTTTCTATGTAAGGCAGAGGTATATACCTCTTGGTATAGAGAGAGAACAGATTGCTGCGGATTTACCAACATGAATGTGTCAGGCCAAAGAGAGGAGACCTAGTTTCACAGGAGTGTAAGCTGTTGGCTTAGGCTACTGTTATTACATTATGGACCAACAATAATGTAATGTAATGTTATTACATTATTGTTGGTCCATATAAGCCCATTGGCTTGCAAAACATCTAGACCTTGGAGGTTCCAACCTCTGGAAAGTAATTTAGCCTCTCTTTACACAACTTTTTAAATATTGGGTGTTATTTTATCAGGTTAATTGAGCAGAGCAGTGGCGCTTAGCTGTAAGGGGCCTTCATTCAAGGGCACTGGGTAAAATAAGACAGCCCTGCCTCTCCTTTTCAACCCCATGATTTTTGCTGTATTTTCCCTCTTCTATTTTTGATTGTTTTGCTTCTCAGTCTGCAGCTGTGGCGTGAAACAATCGATGGTCTGGTAAGCTGCTCTGTAATGCTGAGGTGCCTGCTTGGCTTGCCTGAGAAGGACCCCTGTGCAGACATCGTTCCAGAGGAACCAGGTAAATGGTAATTTTAGCCTGGCAACTAGTTTCTGTGGACTGTTAGAAGCCCCCCAAATGGGGTGAATTTCCATTGAAATAGCAACGTTAGCAGTTCCCCCTCAAGACTTTATCAGAAATCTATCAGAAAAAAAAAATATATTGCATGATGCTGTAATCTGTATATGGTATCATGAAAACAAATAGATCTTTTATTTTAGATAGATGTAGTTCTAGTTCTTGCCCAAACTAAGGCCCCTCCTGCCCAATCTCATTGTTAGCTATTTTACAAGCTTATTCTGCTAAATGCTTTAGACCCCTTCAGTCCTTGTTTGAAGAAAGTACTTTTCAAAGTCATGGTTTTTTCAGTGTGTCATGGCTTGCATAAATAAAAAGAGGAAAATATTGTGCTGAAATAATGTACTTGGATTGCATGGGTATATTGAGTTTGTCTTTCTAAATGGGAAAATATTGCTTTTGGACTACTGGAATTCTTTCTTTTGTAGTGGAAGTGCAGCTACTTGTAAAAGGAGAAAAGGAAGACAAAATAACCACTAAGAAAGAAGAGAAGAGATTAGGTGGTGGTAGGGATAAAGAAGACAAAAAGAGATCAAAGCCGTCAGGGAAAGAGAAAGAGGTAGGTGTTAGGATGCACATTGAAAACTGCACATTGGGTTCTGGGGACAGCTTGATACCTTCCAAGACTTTGTATTCTGAATTTGAACCCACTTTATCCTTTTTTTTTGTGTCTTTCTGAATAGGAACGTCCAAACAGCAGAAAGATAAAAGATGAGAAAAAGCTAAAATCTTCCAGTATATCCTTGGATGTGAAAGAGCTACCACAGCCTGCGGAAACTGAACTTGCAGATATAGTAGAAGTTCAGCAGGAGCCAGTGGACCCTATTTTGCTTGGGAAATACCAGGAAAAGCTTTATATTGAAGTGAGTCTGGCCAAGGCTTATATCTGGTTTTATTTCTTGTTCTTTGCTTGTAAGCTTATGATGAAACTAGGTGGAAAGAGAAGGATTTTGTTAACTTTGGGAAGCTGATGGATAGAGGCCCATGATTCTGAACAAGGTAAGTGTGAAATACAAGGTAAGATGTCCTTTATTCCAGCCTGAAATCTGTTAACATAAATCCAGCCTTGCGCTGGATTTCTGTCTGGGATGTCTTAGCAGACTCTTGAGGGATCGGCAGAATTAATTGTATCTCAGATAATGTTAAACACACTTTATAGCCAGAAAAGTTATTACTAGAGCTAAAATCTGTTAGCAAGCAGCAACTTTTATGGGACACTGCGCATGCCTGTATGTGCATGTGCTCCCGTGTGAGAAGCCAAGTCTCTGTTTTGTCAGTCTTGTCATCGAGATTTCTTAGCGCATTTTCACTGTTACTGTCATCTGTTAATTTCTGCTGCAGGTTTATGGGCTGCTGGATTCAATGGTGAACAAAATGGTTATTTTATTTGAGGATCTAAAGGAACAAGGTGCTCTAAAGCAGGAGAGAGGAGTGTTTTCTATCTAGAAATAAATTCTAACCATCTTTTTAAAGAAATAAATACCCTGTCTATATGGATTAAGAGGAGATTCTTTCTTATCAAAATGCTTACAAGTACTGAGGTGCCTCTGCTGACATGTTGCTACATCATCTATTACCTCTGCAAGGAACACTTACGAGCAAGAAACCAAGCCATGAGATACAGCAGCCTTATAAACAGAACTACAGAATGCTGGTTATTTCTCCTGTCCCCAAGGGATGTGCCACTATGTTTTCTTTTTACATGCATTTATCCCTTGGGTTGCTCTTCATGTCTTTCCATACAGCTCAGTGTATCCACGTCCTGTTCTAAGACATATCGTTCTCCCAAGACTAATCACTTTTGAATTAAAAATAATGAAATCAATGCCGTAAGTAACGTGAGCGAGTTTAGGCCCTGTGCTGGAGCCGCCCTTCCTGCCTCCATCGGCCTCTACGCGGGCGCACACGTCTGGTTTTGTCGTCTCTTATCTCTCCGGGTTTCCATGTGCATCACATCTGGACTGGGGGCTCTTGGTGGAAAGAGGAGGGAGCTTTTTTGAGTAGGAGCAATTGGCACTGGCTCAAAAGGCACTTTCAGAACACTTGGGTGCTAAAAGGAAATGGCAGGGAGGGAAGGAGGGAGAGAGGCTGTTAACTTGTGTCCGTGATGCCTTTGAGATTCTTAGCCCACGGACGCTGAGTGTCACTGCTACAACCTGTACGTCCCGGCACACTTGCGTGGGGTTTGGGTGCCTCGGGCTGGTGCTCTCTTACATTGGAAACCAGACAAACATCTCCAAAAACCGCAAATAATGGAAAATAGCTGTTCCCAGTGGAGAAGTATCTTCTTTTGGTGTCTCATTTTAACCAGCGTGCATTCCCGAGGGGTAATGCCTTGTATCCCACCTTGTGCTCCAGGTGAGTGCAGCTTCTCACTGCTGACTGGGCCAGGCCCATCCAAGATACTTTCTCTTAGCAAGGCCTTGGAAAGCGCTGCAGCTTCCAGGGAAATCTGCAGCTCCTGCAGCTTCGTGCGCACAGAGCCATGGTGGGAATGTCTCCACTCGGCAGGACTCCGGTGGGAATTTCAGCAGCATTTGGGGGATTAGCAGGAGAAAGGCCCCAAGCTGGGGTGTGACAATATCTCTTGCTTCTCTGGAGATCATTATCAGCTCATGAATAGGCCCAAGCTGCCCCTCTTGTAGGCAAGAAGGGCACAGAGAGCGGAGACAACGTGACCATCTCAAGAATGGGAAAAGTTTTGTTTGTTGGTCTCGCTCTGGACAGCAGAGTCCATGTATTAGACTCACGCAGCAGCCCGACCTGCACCAGCAGGTTGTCCTCTGTTCCTAGGAAAGCGTGTCAGACAGAACACGGACGCACGGGAGTTTCACATGAGTCACCTACAACTGGAAGAGCGTTAGATCTTTCACGGGGAAGAGGCTGGTGCGTGGGGAGGGCAGCATGAGAACTGCGAAGAGAATCAACCTAAATACTGAGCCTAACCGACCCTTCTGCTAAACGGTGTCCGTGCCTCCTCCAGCCTTCCAGCCTTGGCCAAGCAGCTCCTCAGGGAGAGCGCACAAGCAGGAGCCAAGGGATCTGCTGGCTCAGCAAGTGCCGCCTGGCATCCGTATCTCTGAATCAGCTTTTTTTTTTTTTTTTTTCCTTCACATTAATGATTTGCGTCAGTTAAATGACTGGGAATCCAGTGGAATTAGCCTGGCTCAAGGGCCGTTTGTGCCCCCGTTGCAGGCCTGCTGGGAGCGGCGAGGCCGCTTCCTCGGCAGGCCCTGGGCTACGGCAGTCCCTGTAACCCCCTCCCCACGGCCACGCGAGAACACTGCTCCTTCTTCTGCCCCCGACTTGACCGGTATTTGTATTGGTGTTAATAATTTGTGTCATGTTTGCTGAATAACTAAGGTGAGTAACCTCGCCGGCCCCGCGCGGGGCAGGTCCAACCCATGGCGGAGGGGAGGACACGGTGACTGCCCGCGAGGCCGGATTCACCTTCGCTGTGCTGCTTGCAGGGCCAGAGCCTCTTCTGTGGGTCCCAGTGCTGAGACCCGCGGTGCGCCAAGGTGGCCCTGGCTCTGTCCCCAAGGCCCCAGGCGGCTGCAGGGCCTTGGTGGGATGGATCCTGCTGCTTCCACAGGGAGCACCGCAGGGACACGCGACCCTGCTCCACCACACGGGAGCTGCTTTCCATGATGGAGAATTTCAGTGATATTAAAAAGAATTTATATATATATATATCTGCATAAAACGTGAAAGGCTGTCACTGATTAAAATGGAAGGCAGAGGCCGGGAGCGAGGGGGTGGCACTGAAGCGATGGAGACACGAGCGCTTCTCTGCTGTCATCTGATGCCTCCTCTCTCCCGAGCCAGGCTGCAGGAGCAGGGGAAGCATCTGCTCCAAATATAGATCCCGAAAAAAAAAAAAAAAAAAAAAAGGAAAAAATGGAAAAAAGAGAATTAATGAGCCCCGATTG